CTGATAACTGTGATGACATACAGGCATGAAAAAGGAAATAAGAGGCAAAGAACTAAACAGAATGATATTTACATAGAAGATGGTATCATTAGGGTAAAAAAAGAATTCTTTAGGAAAGAGTATTTTCAATGCTAAGGGAGGAGGAGTTTCTTCCACCCCAAAAGAAATCTACTCTGTAAAGCAAGCCTAGCCTACAGAAGAGGAAAGCAAAAGGGGAAAGATAGTTCCCACAAACATGTTTTGGCGAGATGGTCATTGATTAGCAAATCCCATACTTTGCTATTATGTATGGCAAATACTGTGATAGATATTAAAAATAAAAATTGAATTAATTTAACAATGGGTTAATAAGCCAATTTGTAAAGTCTTAATGGAAGTAGAATAATATATGCTGTTTAGGAAGCTTTTGTTATCTGAATATTTTGTCTTCAGAACATTTTAATACAAATTTTTCATTTTATCATTGTCTAGAGTATTGCTTAACACTTCAGATAAATATTTGTCAAAGTAATTAATTATTAATGATAATTTTTAGATATAGGCATAGTACTTACAATGCTTGTTCTTCATACTTTACTAACACTTCTTTTAATTTTCCTAGCGATCCTGCAATGAGTTATCATTCCCATTTTATAAATGATAGTGAAGTTCAGGGGGGTTGGCAACCTATCCAAGGACACAACCTGAGAATTAATACAATTGAAACCAGATTTGTCTCAGGCTATGGTTCAAGCTCTTTCTCTTCACTACTGTGGTTCCCAGAATTGTTCAGGAAAAAACTCCATAGTGTCTCTCCTCCCCTCCCTCTCTCCCTCCCTTCTCCTTTTTCCCCCTTCCTTTCACCCTCCCCACCCCGTCTTGCTCCTTCTCCCTCCCTCCTTCCTTCTTTCCTTCCTTCCTTCCTTCCTTTCTTTCTTTCCTTTCTTTCTCTTTCTCTTTTCTATCCTCCTTTCCTCCCTTCCTTCTTTCCTCCTTCCCTCTCTCCTTTCTTTCTCTTTTCTTCCTACCTTTCTCTTTCTTTCTTTCCTTCTTTCTTTATACCATGTTTAAGAGGGACATGAATTTATTAAAAAAAAAACCACATTTGGGGCTGGGGAGGTGTCTCAGTGGTAGAGCGCTTGCCTTGCATGCATGAGGCCCTGGGTTCGATTCCTCAGCACCACATAAGCAAAAAGAAAAAAGCCGGAAGTGGCGCTGTGGCTCAAGTGGTAGAGAGCTAGCCTTGAGCTGAAGAGCTGAGGGACAGCGCCCAGGCCCAGAGTTCAGGCCCCACGACCAGACCCCTCCCCCCCCCAAAAAAAAAACATTTGATCTCTACCCCTAAAGGATTCCATGCACAGGATCTTTTATCTTCATAAGGGGCTTTAAAAGGCTTTGTCATATAGTAATTTGTAATTTTGCTGAACCCCAAGTTGAATTGTAAGTATAGAGAGGCTGTTCTGTGGGAATGAGTCACTCACAGCAGGAATCTATCCAGCAGCAGCAGTGCAGTGTGGTTTTACTGTTGTTGGTGACTTACACAAAATGCTCATAAAAAAAAAAAAATGTAGCAATGACTGTCTCTCGGTACAATGCACCTGAAAGAAGTCAGCTGTTATGCTATGATCAGCAACAGTGAAGTCTTGTGATAAACAAGTTTGTGTCCAAGTTTTCTGCAAGAAATTTTATGCCACAAGATATGTGCAAATTTTAGAATGTAGATCTACTATGCAGTTAGGAACGTTGTTCAACATTTGAGCAAATAAAGTTTTGGATGACTTGTCGCAGGTCACAGAAGCTTAGAGGTGTTTGTAACACGTGTACTGTGATTTAGCTTTTCTGTGCTACTTTTCCTTATCTTTGCCTTTTAAATAACTCTTGGGTTTTGGTGTTAGGCTTCACCTGTAAGTATTTTATATGCATTCAGACATTGAACTCCAGTAAGTAAGCAATAGTAGTATTCCCAGTTAAAAGGACCGAGTGAGTTAATGAAAGGAATCAGAGGTTTGAGAGATGTGAAATCACTTGCCTAAGGTCATGCTCTGGGAGAATTGGGCAGACAGAGATCTGGTCTCCTCTGTGCATCAGTTGAGCAAAAAAAACAAACAAGAAAGTATTTGGATTTTTGCTACACTCTTTTTTTCAGTTTATTGAAGAGTCTGTAGGGCTTTTTTCCCCTGTAGATTCAAATGCCTAATGAAAATAAACAACATAAGAAAAAAAGTAGGCTGATGTCTCAGTAGAAAATGAAAACAACTCACCATGGTTCCCAGCATTTCTGATTCCTCTGTTTGAGCCGGTTTAATGATGGGTGCCCCTTCTAACAGCAGGCTTAATGAGCTGAGTATCCCTGCCTAAGAGTCTGCAAATGTGGAAAACCACTTGGCTTTCACCTTCTGGAGCTTAAGAACCAGAATAGGTGTAACATTCCAGTCTAATCCCACCTTGAGCTGTTAATGAGTTTTTGAAAAGCCTTCCAAAGACTTCCAAAAACTGTGAGACCTTTTTGTATTTTCACCTGAAAGTCTGGCCCTTGGTGAGTTGGGCAGGATCCACTGTGGTAGGACCTCAATCCCTATTTCCCTTTTCAGAAGCAACTGTGGAAACATCAACTCGTCTAGGATTTACCTGCATTTTCTGACCACCAGATCACAGCAACAAGACGTTACCACATTGGCACATCTTGTGGTTCCCTGTGGTCTTTCCCCAGAACACGGCCAGTGTCTTCAGGTGGCCATGTGGCTGTCAGTGTGTTCCTTCTGAGACTGATACTCCCTTGCTAGGAATTCTGAAAGCCAGCATTCATCCTTCAGTGTTTATACCTCATGTGCTCAACTGTACCTTAAAGCCATGGAGAACTGTAGCTTACCACTTGTTTATATAACTAATTAATCCACCTGTGACAGTTTCACATTTTCTGTGCACAATGTTCAAAATAGAAAGGTAGTTAATTATAATTGACTTGTTATTTGGTAATATTGAGACTGATTTCTTTTCATCATAATTAGCCATCTTTTTGAATAATTGTTTAATTTAGCATCATTGTTTACAATTCTTACTCCTATTTTGCTGTCAGCATTTGAGCAAATAAGAAAAAGGATCTAATTTACCTTCCTACTCTTAAAATGCCAGAAATATCCTTTCCATTCATACAGATACTTTTTACAAATTAATGAGAGGGGTATGATGCTAATGGGGACATTTATTTCACCAGCCTTTTAGTTTTACATGTATTTTGTGAAACACTGGCATACTTTTAAATAACTTGGAGAACTTCAGATGAGACTTCTTATATAAATGCAAATTATACTTGATTATATTTGGATGTCATTTTCCAAAACAGCAAGGATGGAATTCTTAGCTTAGGAGGCAGTAGCGGTGACAGAAATTCTGACCTTAGTGAAGGCAGCATGGGGATAAATGTCTGTTCAGGAGTGATGTTCTTTCTTAGATGCTGAAGAATGACTTCTGAAGAGATTTGTTTGAATAGAGTGAACATGAAACTTACTCCAAAGACTTTTTTTTTCAGTTGGAAGAAAGTACCATATGGAGTGGGACTGACTGTACGGAAGGCAACTCCAGGGGTCTGTTTTTCAAGTTCTGGGTAGGGAATGGAGCTTGGGCTTCTCAGTTTACGAGATCTGATCATCATGGTCAGAACCAATAAGTAAAGGGAAATCTCAAATGAGCTGAGATTCTTAAAATTATAAGTCAAAATTAATCTGTTGAGAAGGGGCCCTTTCTACTTATTGGATAAAGATTCAGGGGCTGGGTAGAGCGCTTGCCTTGCATGCCTGAGGCCCTGGGTTCGATTCCTCAGCACCACATAAGCAAAAAGAAAAAAAAAGCGGGAAGTGGTGCTGTGACTCAAGTGGTAGAGTGCTAGCCTTGAGCTGAAGAGCTGAGGGACAGCGCCCAGGCCCAGAGTTCAGGCCCCACGACCAGACCCTCCCCCCCCCCAAAAAAAGAAAAAAGATTCAGATCTAGACAGGACCTAACATGGATTAAACATATTAAAATTCTATGTGCTTAATATTTGATGAAACAAATAATTTGGCCATGATGTAATCACAATAGTCATTCACTAACCTTGTTTAAAAGTTTGTATTTCCCTACAAAATTAGGATTGTTCCAATAATTACCAGCCATCTGCTTCCAATTTCCAAGTTAATTACTTATATTTCTGTTTATTTGCATATTTATATGTATGCTTAATTTGCATATATATTACATTCACTAGAACCTAATTTGGTTGGGATTATTAGACAGTAGTGTATTCTGGTTAATTTGAAAATAAATGCAAATTTGCTGCTAATACCCAATAAATAAGTTCTTGCAAACAATAAAATAAGTAAAATATTTTTATTTCAATATTGTTGGAAAATATTTAAATATCTTTTTTCCTGCTAAATACAATAAAAATAGCAAAGTTCTGTTTCATTATTAATATATAGAACAGGTTCCTCAATTTGGTAATGTAGTATTTTGGAAATGGGGGCATGAAGGAATGGAAGGAGAAATACTGTTATTCCAGGTAAATTTTTAATGTTAGCTGTTATGGTGCTTTTATTTTCTGAAGGTCAACTGTAGGACTAGTTCTAACTAGTTCTAACTAGTTAAGGATTCCACGTGAATTTCTCTTGGACTCAGTATAGTATGTGGCTGATTCTAGTAAGCCATAAACATAGAGAGGATGATTATTTAATTAATGTTCATTGTTTCAAGGGTATGAGAATCAGAAAACAGCAGTGTATGTAGCACCCATATTCCCATTGCTCTGGTGGGAGAGCCAAGCACTCTCCTTCTTGTTCCCTATAATCAGCCTTAACCTCTAAGTTTCCTGTAACAGGAGGAATTTGAACTGGGCTCTCTTTAAGAAACACAGAAAATATGAAGCATTACTTTATTATCAGCCAGTTTGAAAACCAGTCTATGAAGGATATTTAGTATAATGTGCAAACCAAAGGCAGTTGGAGAGTAATAGAGTGTTAACACTGCTGTTATTTTTGTTTTTTAAACAGGCTCATGCACAATTAGTTCGAGAAGTTGATGTGGAGAAGGTGTCTGCTTTTGAGAATCCATATGTAGATGCAATAAAGAGCTTGTGGAACGATCCTGGAATCCAGGAGTGCTACGATAGACGACGAGAATATCAGTTGTCTGACTCTACCAAATAGTGAGTATCTAATTAGGAGGTCTTGACATCTTTCTTACTACTGTAATTTCATATGAATGTATTGTAACTTCTGCAGTCTGTGCGGAATGCATGGCAGTCAAACTTCCAAGTAGGCATACGAAGTTTGTTTTTAAAAAAGTGTCGTGCTCATACATCTCCCCCGACTATATTCTACTACAGTCATGAGTCAGGGAAAGTGTTTCTTGTAATGCTTTCTGTTTGGAAAACAGAAATGGAAGATTCATGGAGTCTTACCATCCTGTCTCCTCCCCGACTACTGCACACATACAACACTGTGATCTGACACCTTACAATAATGATTTTTGATACAAATTCAGACCTTCTGTGCTAGAAAACACCTCAGCACCTTAGAAATCACAAACAAAAGTATATTTGATTGTGGCTTCTTAAAACATGATACTTCTAGTTTCTAGGTTTTAGACCCAGAACCTTGACTGCTTTCTGAGAGCCACCGTTTATATTGATGGATAGGTTTTCCTTTGCATGAAAACTGCTTGTGAGCCTCATTTTGCATGCATTCCAGAATTTAGTTTTTGAGCTGGCCATCAAACCTATGTGTTTTGGAAAAGATTTGTATCCTAGAGAGATCTGTTATTTTTCTAGATTAAATCTTGCCTAAGAAAAAAAATTAAAGATTATTGGCCATCATTAGATTAATATAATCAGTTTAGTTAACAATCTAGATAATCAGGCATCTGAATTTTTTTTTGCATTATTTAGCCAGATTTCTGTCTACATTAGTTGTTAATCCAGCATCCTCCTCTTGCTTTTTAGTCAGTAGAAAGAAGAATGGGTGGGAAATACTAAGAAGCCTTTGGCCAGTTCATAGCATAAAGTGAGCCATTGGGTAAGAGCAAGACCTTGGGAAAATGAGGCTCCTAAGGGGGTTGGTTGGTCTCACTTAGTAATGCATGGAAGACTCAAGAGCTATGTGCACTCTGTTTTTACAGGAAAGTTATGCTTTTGCCTTTCCAGGCATTTGCATAAGATACGTTATCATTCAAATTAGCCATAGAAATGCTGCCTGGATAAAATATTTCTTGTAATCGTTTGGTAAATTGGGATTGCATAGCCCTGGGATGTGCCTATCATGACACAGGTGCGGTACTCATTTCTTCACTTTTTCTTTCTTCCACACACTCAGGACCTCCTTCTTGTTCCTTCCTGCTCTGTCTTCTGCTGTTCTTCTCATTTTCCCCCACCAGCCTCCCTCCCCCTTTCCTTCCCTTCCTGCTTCCCTCCCTCCTCGCTCCCACTGTGAGTTTCTGTGAGTACAGAGATGGAAGATGGATTCAACTAGTCTGTTCCAAGTTCTGCCCCCTCCCTCCACCTTTGGCCAGCTGTCGGTTATGTCCTGCCCCCTCTGTCCTTCTGCTCTCTTCATCATTGCACATTGCATTCATCTTCGCACGTTGCATACCCCGCCCGTCCCTGCTCATTCTGTCTCTTCCTTTCTGCTTGTTTACCCATCCTCCCTCATCGTTGATGCCCTTGGTTCTCCTTTACCTTCTTTTCACTTCTTGCTTTGCCTTTAGTAAGTAATGTTCCATTAGAGTTAGATATTTTAATGAATTCTCCACCTCACCATTTTCCCCTTATCGCTAGTCCATTGACTCTTTTTTTTTTTTTTTTTTTGGGTCCGGTTGTGGGGCCTGAACTCTGGGCCTGGGCGCTGTCCCTCAGCTCTTCAGCTCAAGGCTAGCACTTTACCACTTGAGCCACAGCACTACTTCCGGCTTTTTTCTTTTTGCTTATGTGGTGCTGAGGAATCGAACCCAGGGCCTCATGCATGCAAGGCAAGCGCTCTACCACTGAGCCACCTTCCCAGCCCCCCCCCCCCCATTGACTCTTAAGACAGTCTGCCCATCACCTCAAGTGGCATTTGTGAATATTTAGGCATGTACCCATTACTTGGTATAAAAATTAGATGCTACTCTAGATAGTTGTTTTAGGCCAAAGAGCTATTCTGGGTAGTTTCTTCTGGCCACTGCTAGTGATGTGAAAGCCACTGTCTTAGAACTCTGCTAGCATGAGCTTACTCCTCTGTAGAAGCAGACTTGCTTGTTAAGACACATCCATTCTAGCAGGGCCAGACCAGGCTGTGGGGAACCTGATACAGGGTGATCAGTACAATAATTGACCAGTTATTCTTTATAATAATCTTTATGCTATTTAAATACTACACAGTATTTATCTGAAATGTCTGTATAGTAGTCAAATTACTAGTCTTCAAAGTTTAAATGGTTTTACTTTCCCCTAACAGAGATGGGAAAAAAGTTAATTTCCAAATTGTAGATATATCTGGGTAACTGCACCCGATATATGTACATACACCTGTTTTCTTGTTGAAGTAATAGTTAAGGAATTAAAGCATATCTAATATTTTAGGCATTTCAATATGGATTTCTTTAAAAAAATGATATTTTCCTTATATAATAGACAATATAATATATCTAAAATTAATCATCAATTTTCTCTTATTCTATACCATTCTTATTCTATTTCCCAGATTCTTCCAGCTGTGTGCTTGAGTGGTGGCTGATTTTAGGCCTGTTCATTGCATCTGGTTCTTTTGTCTCTTAAGGCTCTCTTTTTTTTTTTTATTGTGAAAATACCGTACAGAAGGGTTACAGTTACATGGGCAAGGTAATGAGTGCATTTCTTATCAAGCATTGTTGCCTCCTCCTTTGTTTCCCCTTCCCATCCCTTCCCATCTCCGCTGCCCCCCTCCTCTCCCTGCCCCCTCCCGCCACCCGCTCCAAAATGGTAAAGTTTGTTTTTCTGCGTAACATCTTGTACATCTCATAGTTACAGTGGGTCCACCTGTACCCCTATTTAAACAATTTGTTTTTTCCCTTCCCCTCCACAAATTATACCAACATCAAATACAGTGAAAGCAGGAGTTATACCAAGGGGGAGGGGCATACAAAGCAACAAAGAAATATCTTATAAATATGTTAGAAACAATTGCAAGAAAGAAAAAAACATTTGAGGCCTTATCTTGGGGTTCATTTCACCTAACATCAACTTACGGCTCTTTTAGTATAGTGAAGACCTGTTTGGCATTTCATCAGCATGCTGAAGATATTGGCCGGGATTTGGCTGGCTGCTTTAAGGTAACTTTAAGGTAACTCATGGAGTTACTCTAAAGTTACATCAAAGACTTACTTAAATTCAGGGTAAACACGGTGACTAGAATACAGTGTAAGTCACGTACACTGGCTTACCCAGACTGGGTCAACTTGGAATGTACCATGGTGTTAGAGTGGGTAGTAGCTCCCTCTGTTGATTGCCGAGTTTTATTGTTTCTCTTGCAGTGTTATTTTATCACTGAGCAATCTTGAGTCCACCATTCCTCACCTATTGTTCTTCCTTGATAATCCTTGCTGAGATAGTAATTCCACCAGAACTTGTAAAAGAATGATTTTCTTCCTGTATCACTGATTTTCTTCCTGTATCACTGAGTCTATATTGGTGTTCTTCTGTGAAGCAGATTGAAGTACATTTTCCTAATGGAAAATTATATGATTGAATCTTTTGTTTAAAACCATTTGCGTGAACTAAGTAAGATGGTGACTGTACATAAAATTTGTTATCCAAATCAGGACACTTTAAGAGAGAAGGCTGTGCTGTTACACTGGAAAACTAAATGTTAACCAGGAATGGCTTGGGCAGAGACATTTGATCACTTTGCCTAAATAAAACTAGTGTGTTTCCCTCCCTCCCACCCTCCCTCCTTTCCTTCCTTCCTTTAGTCTCTTCCATCTTTAGGAGTCTCTTCTTATTCCCCCCCCCCTCATTTCCATCTCTCCTGCTTACCTTCTTTTTGAGTTGGATTGTGACCCAGATCCTTGGGCATGTTAGGCCGGCACTTCACCACTTGAGTTGTGCTCACGGCCCTTTTGTTTTATATTTTGCTTTGAGACGGGGTTTTTGCTAACTTTCTCTGGGCTAGCCTGTACTCACCTACCCTCTTGTAGCTGGGATTATAGATGTTTTCCACCACCATTCCTCTTTTCTACTTCCAGAAGAGCAGAGCGAGTGGCTAATTATTTAAAGGCTGGCATGTAAAGGCTGAGTAAGCTAGCCATGTCTGCTAGGGGTTTGCAGGCCTCTCCTACTGGGGCCAGGGATTGAGCCACCTCAGCCACTTGAGCTGCTCTTCCCAGCGCTTTGTTTTTGTTTTGAGATAGGGCCTTTGATTAACTTTGCTCAGGCTGGCGTCCTCCTATATGACCCACACTAGCCGGGGATATAACTATGTTCCCTTGTACCCAAAGGTGTAGGACATTTGGTAGACTAGTGCCCAAACAGCCAGTCCGACCTGCTTAACTCCATTGTGCCAAGAGGCCAAGAGTCAGAGTCGTCTTTTTCATCCTGATCTTAGTTTTGAGCAATTTACCTTTTCATTAGCCAGGTCACCCTTCTGTCGCTGCCCTGGGTCCTGGGTTCCTGTAGATGTATTCATTTTCAGCCGTCTCCTGCCTCTTCAGTACGGTCACGGTGATGGCTGTGAACCCCAGAGTCAGAACTGACAAGGATACACTTCCCATGGGGCGCACCGCCCCGATCTTCTCGGCGCCTGGCTTCTTTGGTGACTGGTCTCCTGATGGCCCCTGAGCATTTTGTCTGTCTTCTCTTTATAGGTTTTCATGTCATTTTTTTTCTATCTTTTTAAATAAAACATATTTCATTGTCATTCTAGACCACATTTCTTATACAGTTTCACCACCCTGTAGAAATCTTTCTGAATTTAAAGCCAACTTCTCTTGAGTGCTGGTTGACTATGGTTACAGTTCTTCCATTGAGATTTAGAAGATATATAGATATCAAATTTCTAGCAGTGCGACAATCAGGCTCTCCTGTGCTTATTCCTAGTATCCTGCTGGCTGTGTGGTTCAGTGCAAGCCACATCCCAAGAATTGAGAGCAGAAGCCAAAGATGCTTTGCTATTGCCTTGTCCTCTTCCTCTTCTTCCT